TGATGTTTAACTTTAAGCTCATTTAAAGTAAAGTCAAACTTTGTAGAAATGTTTCTGTCAATGATGTTTTTTCTCTTTTCCATTTGCTAGCATGTCTTGTGAACAATAATTGGGAAACATTGTTAACCCAATTAATGGTTTGTTCTTTATTTTCAATTTATCTACTTAGTATCACATCATATATAAAACCTTACAAAACCATCGCAATCAAGTGAAGTCCACTCTAATTACCAGATTGTGATTTTGTACTCTATTGGAATAATACATACCCAGTCCAGTGCATTTAATGATCCTTTCTTTAACTTAGAGGTATTGATTTATTGACATCTTTTGATGACATGTGAGATGCTTTATGTAGACATGTTGCAAACTGTTGAATTATTGGTCCAACAAGAGACAAATACATTCTTATCATGATGGAGCAAATGATCTTACACAAATGACAGAATTGCATGCTAAAATAACGGATGTTCTAAAAGACATACAAATTCAGAATGCAGAAGCTAACAATTTTTACCACGAACTTAAATTTACAACCTTGTCAAGTTGATTATTCTAAGCAGAATCAACATAGCATACTTTGGCAGTGGCACAAAACTTCTATGAACACTTCCTTTCCCATTAATTTAATGCAGCACGGCGATGAATCAATTCATTCACAAATTCTGCAGTATTTTTATCGGAACTTCCTCCCTCATCAACACTACTCTTGGCCAGATTCTTCCACTTGATGGAATTTTTCTTTATTTCATTTCCTTTTTCAGTCTCCAATATTTCTTTTATGCAATGTGTGATAGTTTCTTTTCTAACTATATCTTTCTCATCAGCAACAGCTTTGACTCCAATTTTCCACACATCTTTAATAAGTTTTGCATTTGTGATCTGTTCAGTCCACAGTGGCATTGCAATCACTGGAACTCCTAAGCTCAAAGCTTCCAATGTGGAGTTCCAACCACAGTGTGTGATAAAACACCCCAAAGCCTCATGTGTCAAGACTTGCATTTGGGGACACCAATTGACTATTAAACCTTTCTCTGTTGTGTCAAGAAATCCCTTTGGAAGCTGTCCTTGTTCAGAGTCTCTAATCACCCATATGAAATAACTTCCACTATCTCTTAAACCACAAGCTAGTTCCTCAGCTTGCTCCACATTCGGCCCTGCGAAGCTCCCAAAAGAAACATACACAACTGACCCTTTTGGTTTATCATCAAGCCATTTCATGCAAGCTTCTGACTTTGGAACATACATTTCAATACCATATTTCTCGTCATCTTGGAGTCTTTTGTCCAAGTACATAGATGGCAAGGTTGGTCCTATTGTCTTTAATGGCCAAATCTTGCACAGCCAATCCACAACCTATAATGAATTTCATTTCAAAATCTAATCATCAATAACCAACTCAAAAAAACTAGGATAAAATGTGTTTTAGATCTCTCAATTTTGATAAAAATTAGCCTTACTTCATATGCTTCCAAATGTAAATATTTTGGCCCTCATCATTTGGTAGAGTTTGTCTCTCTTTCCAAAACATAAAGATCTTAAGAAGAGAAACAAAATCTACCAAATATAAAGAACATAGAGACCAAAATCATTGTTTTGAAAGTAGAGTCTAGAACCAACTTTGATAAAAACCTTAAAGAAACTTAAATAACATTTACCCAAATAACTACTACTGTCTATAAGTCATTTCATCAAACAAGAACAGATCAAGATAAATGAACAGAATTTTCAGCTAGTGAACTCACTTACCTCTCGCTCCATATCATAAAATGTGTTTGCAAGAACCCAATCTGCTTTGTCAATATTGGAAAGTTGGTTCACAACAACATAAAAATAACCTGGATAGGTTCCATATCTGTTCAAGAATGATGGCAAGTCCTCAGCTTCAAGTTTTGGCAACCCTGGCAACAAATACTCTGTCTGTGTAAGAGGCAGTTTCAGCAACTTGTTATAAGTATGCAAGTATATGGTGTTTGTTGTGCAACTCTGAGTGAAGAAAGCAGCAGCAAGTAGCCCAAATTTCTTTGCAACATCAAGAGCCCAATGCATGAAACCATCATAGATTACACAATCTGGAGGGTGGCTTGATCCTGCAAGCTTCTGAAGAAGCTCAGCGAGAGTTTGTGCTCCAACCCTGCAGAAGGTTTCAAGATAAACCTCAAGGCTCTCTGCTGCTGCAAGGCCTCCTTCATCGTAGCCATCTGATATGCTCTCAACTTCTATAGAAGTGAATTTTTTTCTGCTAACGACCTTCCAGTTGGACACAACAGTTACCAGTGTGACCTTCACTCCTCTCTGAATCAAACGTTTTGAAAACTCAAGCATAGGATTTATGTGTCCTTGTGCAGGATAAGGTAGAACAAGACAGTGAGCCACATAGTTTATCCTCTCCTCCATTTCTTGCTCCGAGGTTTGTGTTTTCCTTCACCACACTGTTGTGTCAATTGCTGTCTGTCTGATTCAAATAAATTAAATTTCAGTGAGAAAGAAACGAGACAATAACTGATTTACAAAAAATGTTGCAATCAATGTTATTACAATTCAGTGCAAACGGTTAGTTTCGGTCAATGTAATGAACAATATTCAAATGCACAATAAGAGAAAAATCTAAATTCAATCTTCAACTTTCTGATATTGGAGAGTTATAAGATTAGTTTAATTAGTTTGAAAGAAAAATTAAAAAAAAAAGTTGTGAATTCAACTCCCTCCCCTAGATAAAATAAAAAGTGGATACTTAAAAAAGTAGATGCAGAGAATCATACGTGTAGGACACTGCTGAATAAAAAAGAAACCCATGTAGAACACACTCACGAATATAGATGTCAATTTCAATCACTTAGCCTATAACTAAAATGAAAATCAAAAAAAGAAACTTTCTTACGTAAGATCTGAAAAATATATTCAAAGATGGAAAGAAATAATATTAGCATAACACCAGCTAGTGATAATCGTTGACAGATTATAGTTTGAAATTTTTGAATATGTGCAAAGGAAGTTGGTTGATCTAAAAGTTTATAATTTTAATAAGGCTTAAATACTCTTTTTGTTCTATTTTGATCAACGACTCATTTTTTGTAAGTATTCAATATGATCTCAATTTTGGTAATTTATATTCAATTTGATATTTTATTATGATGTAACCTAAATTGTTAACGACAAACTTTACATGTTGGTAGTGTTTGAATGAAGATGGTTATCACAACACTGAGTCTAACATACAGATTGTGGTGGTGCTGATGTGCGTGCGATGAACCTACG